GTCTGCACTGGGTACAGAACCTGAGGGGGGTTATCGTTCTGGTCCTGAACGTGTACAATAACCGTAGCGTTACTGCTTTGTGATGGCGACCCACCATCCTGTGCTTTAACTCTTATTTTATATTCTTTTACTTGTTCATAGTCAAGTGAACGTATTGATTGAATTACTCCACTTTCGGTATTAACTGAGAAATACGAAGATATAGGGTTTCCATTAATTTAATTGTCAATGATAAAATATGATATGCGTGCATTCTGACCCTGGTCTGGGTCCGATGCCTTGATTTGGAGCAGGGTAAGCCCTGGAGGGTTGTTCTCCATCACCTGGGTATTGTAGACAGCTTGGCTAAAAGATGGTGCGTTGTCATTGATATCGCTAATTTGCAAAACCACAAACTTCTTGCTTGATAAGGCAGGAAAGCCCTCATCAGTGGCAGTCAGAGTGATGTTGTATTTAGAAAACTTCTCCCGGTCGAGGATTTGCTCTGTCACCAGTGTAAAGTAATTTCTGAGCGAAGATTTAATTTTAAATGGAACATTTTCATCTATAGTTAAATGCACCTGACCATTTTTTCCCGAATCTTTATCTTGGACGCTGATCAAACCCACGACTGTGCCAGGAGGAGAATCTTCAGAAATTTTCCCTGAATATGAAGCCATTGTAATTACTGGTCTGTTGTCGTTCACATCAGCAACCTCGACCATTATTTTGCTTACACCAACTACTCCCCAGGGATCTTTTGCTTGTAGGTTTATTTCATAGCTTGGTGAAACCTCATAATCGAGATGATCAGTGAGTTTAATCTCTCCAGAATAAGAATTTATTTCAAAGGGACATGAGGAATGATCTTCTAGGTGGGTAAACAAATAAGTTACGTTTCCGTTATATCCCAGGTCCGCATCTATAGCACTGACTCTTGCAATGACGGTGCCTGGCACAACATTTTCCAAAACAATTGCTTTATATAAGGACTGAGTGAAAACGGGCGGGTTGTCATTTGCATCCAGAACCGCTACACGAATCTTTGCTGTTCCGGACCTTTGCGGTTCTCCACCATCAACAGCCGTCAATATTAGCGTGTGCTGACTTTGTTTCTCGCGGTCTAATCCACTCTGAAGCATCAATTCTGCATATTTACTGCCATCTGATCGAGTATGTTGTTGAAGAACAAAATGTTCGCTCGCCTTTAAGGTGTAGCTCTGCAGTGAGTTAATTCCTACATCAGGATCAGCTGCGCTATCAAGCAAGAATACTGTCCCCGTGGGCGTGGATTCACTTATTTCTAAATCTATTTCCTTTTTGGGAAAAGAAGGAGCATGATCATTTATGTCTTGTATTTCAACTGTAATTGAAAACAATTCGAGTGGATCCTCGAGGACAATTTCAAGACTGAAGCTGCACGGAGACTTCTTGGCGCATAGCCTTTCTCTGTCAATTCGTTCATTGACAACGATGTGCCCTTTGTTCTGATTCAGCGCGACATATTGGTTTTCATCATCTATAACCAGGCGAGCCCGACCAGACACCAACCTTCTTACATCCAAGCCCAAGTCTTTCGCAACGTCTCCGACGAATAGCCCTTTCCTCATCTCCTCGGGTATAGAATAGCGAATTTGTCCAGTAATCGCAGCAAAAAGACAGAAAAACAAAATGGAGATTTTCCAATCCAGAGGCTTGTTACTCTTCACATTACCCATTTCCTCTCAAGAAGCAATACAGGTATCTACAGGTTGGGATGTCTTCTAAAGAATCACCACATATACTAAGAACTATTTTTTCAGCTAGAAAGTAATCAACCATCCACCGTAGTCTTGATTCTTAATCCATAAGCCCTCCCTTTTTTCTTGCAAGAGGGTGGTGTTTTTGTATTTGTGATGAGGTAAACGTTACACAAGTAGTCTGCTTAGGCAACAGCCCCACCAACAGACCCGATGCAGTAAAACGTCCTCAACCTGCTATCGACTCTGCTAAATAAGATTAGATATAAAAAACGACACAAATTAAAGTGAATAAAAAGCTTGAGGGTTTTAGTGTTTGAAATACCCAAAATCACATATTCACTATTTAATCATGTCAACCCACTTCACTTAATTAGACTCCATCCTGCAATGAACTGTGACAGCAGCAAACAATATTTCTATTTCTCAATGGCGACAAAAGGTTGTCCATAAAATAACCAATTTAACTGATTTTTCTGATAATAAACACATAATAATAAATTGTGGAAAAAGAGTAAAGGAACATTTAGCTTTTCTGTCTGATGGATAGATAAAGAGACAGACACAGATAAATGGATAATCTACTCCCCCCATCCAATCTAACTGAGTCCAGTGACCTACATTTGAGCAGTTGCAGCAACATCTAAAGTGCTGCTACACACATCCACTTGCATGAATGAGTACTGATCACTTCTCTGCAGTATTATTTTATCTTCGCATATCAAACACATTTGCACAAGCATAGTGCCGTCTTTTAATGGGCCAAAGATTTGTCCTGCATTTACTATGATGCTCATAGATGGAGCACAGTTATGCTGCACAGAGATAATGTGTCTGTGTATCATGATTTTGCATTATTCAGGCTGCACAACGGCAGCCAGGATAATTAATATTTATGTGGTTCAGATCCTGAGGAAGAACCTCATTACACACACGCAGGTGTCTGTGCTACAATATTGCCATGGCAAACAATTCACTTTTCAGAATTTTCAGATAACATTTGGTCCTGAGATATACACCCTCATGTACACAAAATGTTGTATCATTTGTATGTGCTGAAAAGATGGAAATGGAATGCAAACGAGTTATAGACAAAGAAATTAGGTATGCTGTTTGAAGAAACTGAGTAATGCAGCTGACTAAAATAACAGATTTCATGAGATAGAAAAATAGTATTCATCTTACCTAGCGGTCCGAAAAAGAAACGTTCAGCCCACGGAGAGTGTGAAGGGGGGAAAAGAGAAAAAAGAAAACTGTTAGTCTGGCCAAATATCAATATATTTCATTTGCATGACATGTTATCTAATTTTTGTATCACACATATGTTAATCACAGTTATTTCTCAATCAAAATAAAATAAACTCTCCTGTGATAACTGCACTATACCATCAAGAGATCAAATGTAAAGACAACAGCGCTGTGTCCAAGCTGGACAGAGTTATCTTTTTCTTGTAATCCCAAAAAAGGGAGTTTTTGGGCTCAAGTAGATCTGGTATTTCACAGTAGATAGAAGAGGATACAAGGGGGAAGACATTCAGCACACTGGTGGTTATCGAGTTACTGAAACAAATAGATTAAAATTCATTCTATGCTTCATCCTCTAAAAGACAATAGGCACAAATAAATGGAGAACAATTTTCAGAGGATCCACTTTGAATCATAGCCACTAAACATAGGTGAATAAAATGTTAAATAAAAAAATTATATGGTTTTGAACAAGTCATTGTCCTAAATTGGACTTGTGTACATGCACTAAATCAATATTCAATTTAGTTGACGTTGATGGATGGATTATCAACCTTACCAAAATAAGGAAATAACTGAAAGTTATTCACAAAATATGTTTTCAACTTAATTAAATATGTCAGTGGTTTTATTATCCAACTTAATTATTCTCATAAACATACAAAGTATGAAGATATAAACAGTTTTTTGTTGTTGTTCTAAAACTAGAAAAATTATTGTGTTCACTATCAGTATTTCAGGCTTGTGTGTTACTGTTTCTCTATCACTACCAACCACAGCACTAAAAACACTGCTTGTTTGACCTACATAGTAATAAACTAAAATTAAGGGCATCTTTCCTTTTTTCTCCTCTATGGCTTGAATTAGGAACGCAAATGGGCCTGTAGCTAAAAACAGAAACACTCAAGCATGAAGAGGAGAATTTTGCTTTACCGTTATGAAACAGTCATAGTAAAATGTAACATGAACACAGAGACATTTGACATTTTAAGAAGATCAGTTTTGGGCTTTCTTTATGTATTTGTGTCATTCACATTTTGCTGAATGTTTACAATAACATATTACTTTATTTTATTAATACAATTTTTTTAACACTGATGTGTACACTTCCATGACTGGTTTAATAACATGAGTTATTCAGCCTGAACAACCAAAAAAAGGCCAGTTTTCTTTTGTGTTTTTTTTTTTATTAATTATTTTTAAGCTCTGATCGTATTCGGTCAAAACCAATGCAGGTCTATCAATTGTGTTTGTGAAATGCTTTTCTAGTCAAGTTGACTATTCAAGGCACTTTGATAATACAAACCACAGACTACACTCACCCTGACATAACTTAATCTCTTTTATCACACATCCATTTGAAACAACCAATTTAGCTGACCATGCATATCTTTGGAGTGTGGGAAATCGAGCTGAGGGTAAACCCTTTGGACATCATATTCAAAGGAACTCATCACACCATAAGAATGTCATAACTCAGGGTTTAGAACTACTTATTTTCTCTGGCATTACAGTAATTTAAATCTACTTCTACTTATACATATTTCATATCTGTCACATATATTTTGGCTTTTTTATTAGACATCTATGTATTTTCTGAATGAGAAGTATTGTACTTATACCACAGGTGTGAAATTACATTTAAAATGTCCTTCCTCCTGCTAAAGTTTATTTGATTTAATCTGAAAAAAACATAGGAAAGTGTCAGAAACCATGTGTGTTTTTGTTGTTGTTGTTTTTTTTTTTTTATGAAAACAGTTTAACCAACACATTCCCAAAACCTTGTTTAGGTCAGGTTACTTTATTTGTGCCAGTAAGTTGATTTGTTTTGCAGCCGGAAAGATTTTGTCAACATAACATGAAATATACTCAAACATGTAAGTCAACACAAAGTATTTCAATTTAAGACAGGAAAAACGTGCATCATAAATTAGTCATGCTCAAAACCATAGAGAAAGATTTTCCACATACAAAGCTGAAAACAAACAAAACATCTCTGTAACTATATGATGCTGAGGGGATATAGTGATCACAAGAGAAGTTAACTATATTCTAAGAGCGCAGAAAAGAACACAGCTCAAACAGAGCAAGATAATTTACAAGACTGTGATCCTCAAAGATGAAAATGGAATATTTGAGCTTCTGAGGGGGAGGTACTGACATTGATAACACAATAAGTTTACCAGTGGTGGCAGAGACAGAAAATAACTGCACAATTAAAATAACAAATGTCTGCAAATGTTTTCCAGTCTTATAAAATATTACATGCAAAATAGTTGTAGATAGAATATTTTCAAGAGACATTTTAAACAAAAAGAAATATGTTATGATACCCACCTATTCTGGAAAATATAACATAAATGCTACTATTTACAGGGTAAAATTGTCATTTTGGTTCAATACCACGTCGTAGAATGGGGTTTCTCAACACAAAGAAAAATGTCAATATATCCATACATCTATTCCATAGGGTAAAATATGTTATTTCAAACAAGATAAACACTCTCTATGCATATGATATAACTGTGAGTAAATATAATAAGTTTAAACAAAGGAAACGTTGCACCGAAATCATCACAGTTTTTTTTTCGCCCTCCTCTATCAGCATGTGTTTTTGACTGTTATTTGACTACATAACAAGGATGCCGTGCACCTGCCATCATCTTCAGACTGGCCCTATCAGCACTGAGGCGCCTCAGTGTGCTCTTCTGATAGGCTGCACTTCTTTTTTTAAGTGTGTCAGTGTCTGTATTTGATCCAAACCGAAAGTCTCCTCTCCAGGAGCCAGTGGTCAAAAAAGGGTCATAACGATCATCTTTTAGCAAAGTCCCACAACGACTAAAATCTGTCAGTGTAGAGGTGCAGTATGTTGTGGGGAAAACAGGGAGACTGGCTGTGTTTGAACGGTAAACATAACCACGTCGACAGAGCTTAAAATAAAACACTCCACTGAGTAAAATGATTAAAAGAAACGAGACGGTTGACAAGGCAATAATTAAATAGAGCGTTAAGTTATCACTGGACTGTGATTCATCTGGAAACTCAAAAAGTTCGTTTAGGACAAGCAGCCCGTCACCAAGCAAAATGCTGACCGTCGCTGTGGCCGTTAGAGATTCACGCCCGTTGTCAGTGACTAAAACGACGAGAGTTTGTCTTGGCTCATCACTCTCCATAAATCTTCGCAGTGTTCTTATTTCCCCCGTATGTAAATCCGCCATAAATAGGTTGGATTGCGTTGCTTTAACTATTCTATAGGAAAGCCAGGCGTTATGGCCAGAGTCAGCGTCCACAGCTACTACCTTAGTAACCAGGTAACCTCTAGGAGCTTCAATTGGCACCATATCCTCAGCAATATACCCGGCGTTCTGGACGGGGTATAGGATAACTGGCGCGTTGTCATTTTCATCTTTGATAAAAACATTTATAGTACAAGAGGTGGAACGTGGAGGCTGACCTCCATCTCCAGCTGTCACCTTAATTTTGAAGTGAACTGACTGTTCATAATCAAATTGGCGCGACGTAAAAAGCTCCCCTGTATCTGAGTTGATGGTGAGGTAAGACGGCAATTCTGTGTTTTTGTCCATTGATATATGATAAAGTAATTTAGCATTAGATCCCTCATCAATGTCCTGCGCTGTGACTCTCATTACAAAGGTACCTACAGATTGGTTCTCCAAAATATTCGCATTGTACTCCCCCAACGCAAACGTTGGTGCGTTATCATTGACATCATTAACCAGAATCGATATGACTTGTACACGAGAGAGTTGAGGAGAACCTGCGTCCGTGGCAGTAATTGTAATGTTATACTCTGGTTGAATTTCCCTGTCTAGTATTCCATCAGTCACTAACATGTAGTAATTTTTCACTTCTGACACAAGTTTAAATGGAACATGGTCTGAGATTGAACACGTGACGTGCCCACTGATACCAGTGTCCAGGTCATAGATATTAATCAGAGCAACCATTGTTCCTGGTTTAGAGTCCTCAGCCACATTAGCAGAGGCTGACTTTATTTCTATAACAGGTTTATTATCATTTACATCAATGACATCAATTATTAGTTTGCAATGGGACGCTTGACCCCCACCGTCTTTAGCCTGAACATCAAGCTCGTGCGAGCTGGCCTCTTCATAGTCAATAACACCTGCAACCTTAACTTCACCACTCAGAGCGTTGATTTCAATTACTCCTCCCATCTTGTCTGACAGGTGACTAAATGAATATGCTATTTCTCCATATATACCCTCGTCTAAGTCTGTAGCATTAAGCGTTGTTATGACAGTCCCTATGACAGAGTTCTCTGGCACAGAAACTTTGTAAACTCGTTGACTGAAAACTGGGACATTGTCATTGGCGTCCAAGACGCGGATGAAGATAGTAGCAGTTCCTGATCTGACTGGATTTCCCCGGTCAATTCCAATGATTTCCAGTCCATGTTCGGCTTGTGCTTCCCGATCCAAGGCCTTTTTAAGAACAAGTTCAGGATAAGCATTTCCATTTATCTTGGTGCTCATTTCAAGAGTAAAATGATCGTTCTGTCTCAGTTTATATTCATGCACAGAGTTAGTGCCCAAATCGGGGTCATGCGCGCTCTCTAATGGAAAGCGACCCCCAACAACAGTAGATTCTACCAAATCTAATTTCATATTCTGTGCAGCAAACTGTGGGCTGTTGTCGTTTATGTCTGCAATGTCCAAAACTAAGCTGAATGCTTGAAGGGGATCCTCGAGTAAAAGCTGAAACTGTAGGATGCAAACGATGACATGCGCGCACAATTCCTCCCGGTCTATCCGTTGGCTGATCAAAAGATTGCCCGATGAGGTGTCCAGTTCACAAAGCTGACTAGTTCCTTCGGCAACAACCCGTGCTCGACGAGCTTCAAGCTCGGCGACGTCCATCCCCAGATCATGCGCAACATTCCCGATAACCGAGCCCCTCTGCATCTCCTCTGGAATAACATATCTGACTTCTCCAAACGCAAGACCAAAAATGGGAGTGAATAATAAAAAATGTACCAAACTCTGGATGTCTATTCGATGATCTGCTATAAAGCATGGTTTCAGAAGTGAATTCAATGTCGACATTATAGCAAAGTCGTGAGGAAAAAACGCAGCAGCAAACGAACAGCTCCCTACTTCTCTCTCTGCATAAATCACGTTCTACTCGGAATGCTGTCAGCTTGGATCCTCTCTCTGCATTCCCATTTCACTGGTACTTTCTCTCTCTCTGACTCACAGGCGCAGAGCCTCTCTTCTCCTCTTCATCACCCTCACTGGCACAAATGCGCATGCATGCATAGCTCTCAGCTTTAACCTATTTCTCTAGTTACACTGACACAGATAAGGGTGAGGACGAGCATCCCGGATTTAGGCTTTATAGACGAGCGTCACCAAGAGACAAACAGTGTTATTGCAACCTCCCCCCCCCCCCCCGCCCCCCCCATATGCGACTTAGAATGTTAGAATATGACTTGAAACTCAAAATAAATACAATTTCATTCCAACTGCTAAACACTGAAAAAAAAAAACATAAAAAAGATGTTTCTCACTGCCAGTAATCCTGTCTGTATAATTCAATTAACTCTAAACACGATATACTCTGTAAAATAATAGTGTAAAGAAATTATCAATGCGATATAAGTGATTAGCAGCTATAACATTAACGCTCCCCTCACAAACGGCAAATCATATGTTGTTGATATCTCCATATTGCTCTGAGGGATAACTACACTCACGGCCTAGTTTGTTGCATAAGTAAATGGTTATGCTCTCTGTAACTAAAAAAAGAGCCAAAGATGACAACGGTCGCAACTGATGGCCTGGAAAGCTGTTTGACGAAACAAAATTCAAACTAAAGAAAATGACATCTAAACAAACATGTGTTGCTATTGTCGGTGAATACTATGAACTAGGATTCATGGTGATTTCTTGACCACTGTAATCTCGACTACAGTAGTGTATTCTTTGATTTATAAGTTTAAACAGTAGTTTAATGAAACTAATGAAGAACTTGATGCAACTTGAAAATTTTAGGTCTAGTGTTACGGAACATACAAATGACTACTTTGTTTACTTTTGTCTATTAATCTGTTCTGATAATATGTAAATAAAGTGCAAAAATGTAAAACGTTTGGTGGACAAGTATTTTATACGACTTTTAAATCCTTGATAAAAGGAGCCACCCAGTAGACTACAGGAAAACTTTACCCTATTATATGTTCACCTCCATTCTATTGGGGTTAAACTCACATTGACTAAAATGAAATTAAGATTTTCAATAAAATATAAAAGAAAAACAAATATTGATCTTTGAAATTGCAAATAGAAAATACTTTTTTAAATTCAACATTGAAAATTAAAGGAGAGAAAAGTAGTGAATTAAATTGTAATTATATATATCATTAAGATAAAGTAACACACCCATGATTAAATATATATCTTCTTTCCAGCAGGTTAGCTTTAAATTTCGTTCCTGCGGATCAACTGAACTCTAATTTAAAAGCAATAGAATAAAATAAATAAAAACTTTATTCATACATTTAAATTAAAAGAAAAAGAGTACTTTGGAGTTGGAAAAAAGTTTGAAAAAAGAGTAATTTCTAAAACTCGATTGTACACAGAAAAAAGGAAAATTATGCACGTGTGCAAGTGTGTCATAGACATTTCTAAATAAGTTTTGCACTCATTACTTTTGATAAATTGCATGTATGCCTACCTCAGGAGAGCCATTAAAGTAGCCAAATGCATCATCAAAGTCTGATGAGCTTTTCTTCAGAGTCTGGTCAGCCGGCAGCGTGTTGTCATTGTAAGATGATACAAACTTAAAGTCACTGGT